TCCCCCCCACACACACCGGAAGTCCCCCTCTCCTGAACCCCCCGCCATCTCCTCTCCCCCGCAGGCCTTTACTACGTGGACAGCGAAGGCACGCGGATCCCCGGCGCCGCGTTCGCGGTGGGCTCGGGCTCCAGCTACGCCTACGGGGTGCTGGACGGAGCGCGGCGCCACGACATGGCGGAGGACGAGGCGCTGGAGCTGGCCAGGCGCGCCATCTTCCAGGCGGCGCGGCGCGATGCCTACTCGGGGGGCCGCGTCACCGTGTACCACGTGGGGCCCGGCGGATGGCGCCGCGTCTCCACTCACGACGTGGCCGGGCTGCACGACGCCTACGGGCAGTGAGCGCGGAGCGGGGGGACGGCGGTGGGCCGGGGGGAGGAACGGGGCGGACGACAAGATGGCGGACGACAAGATGGCGGCCTCACGGTCTGCTGTTGGTGGGATGGGGCGTCGAACATGGCGGAGGGACAAGATGGCGGCCTCCTGGTTTTCTATTGGTGGGTTAAGGCGTCAATCATGGAGGCGGGACAAAGTGGCGGCCTCCTCGAGTTCTGTTGGTGGGATGGGGCGTCGAACATGAAGGAGGACAAGAAGGCGGCCTCCTGGTTTTCTATTGGTGGGTTAAGGCGTCGATCATAGAGGCGGGACGAAGCGACGGCCCCATGGTTTCCTATTGGTGGGTCGGGGCGTCAATCATGGAGGAGGGACAAAGTGGCGGCCTCCTCGTCTTCTGTTGGTGGGTTGGGACGTCAATCGTGGAGGCGGGACAAAATGGCGGTCTCGTCTTCTGTTGGTGGGATGGGTTGTCAATCATGGAGGCGGCACAAAGATGCGGCCTTCTGGTCTTCTGTCGTTTGGTTGGGGCTTCAAATATTGCAGAGGACAAGATGGCGGCCTCCTGGTCTACTGTTGGTGGGTCGAGGTCTTCTGTCCTGGGTTGGGGTCCTCCATGGTCGGTTCGGGGTCCTCCAAGGGTCGGGGGTCGTCTATGATGGGTCAATATGGAACTGGTGTCCGTAGAACGTCTCCTTCCGGTCCCACCAACGCGCTACTTCCGGTCTCCGTACGGCAAGATGGCGGCGCCCGTGTGATACTCCGGCATGAAGACGTTGCGGCGTCTTCTGAACATAAGCAGGCGCCGGAAGTACTGTGGAAATAAAGCGGAAGTCACGCGGGGAGGCGTCCGGAAGTTCCGCTGGGGGCGTAATGTCGGCGCGCAAAGCGCTGCGGATCGGTAATGGCGGCGCGGGGCGTTTTGGGAGGTTTTGGGGGCACCGTGGGGCGGCCATGGGGGCCTGAGGGCCTCTATGGGGTCTCTGTGGGGCTCTGTGGGGTCTCTGTGGGGCTCTGTGGGGCTCTGTGGGGTGTTGATGGGTCCCTATGGGTCCCCACGTGTCTCTGTCCCCCCAGCTGCGCGCCGCGCTCTCAATGCCCGCCCCATCCCAGCGGCCCCGCAGCGGATTGGCCAATGGCGGGTCAGGTGAGAGACAGGGGGGAATGAGTGGGCGGGGCTCGGCGAGGTTGACGGGGCCTCATTAGCATAACTAATTACCCTCAGCCAGGGATTGGCCCCCGGCAGTTCGGGCTACGGGCCGCTCCGAGACCGCCCTGATTGGTCGTTTGTGGGTGAGCCAAAACCCCTTCGATTCACCCCACATTTTGGGGGGGTGACCCCGCCCCCTTCTGCTGGCCCCTCCCCCTATTTCTGGCCCCACCCCTTTTTTGCACGCCCCGTTGCCATTGGTCCGTGTGGGGGAGGGTTTGGCTCCTCACCCCTCCTTCCTATTGGTCCGTTTGGTTGTGCGTGGCCCCACCCCATCCCTCCCTTCATTCCAATGAAGCCACGCCCATCTCTAAACCGCGCCCCTTTTCCTTTTGGCCACGCCTCCCAAGATGGCCGCCCGGCTCCCCTGTGGGCGGGGCAGCTGCGCCGTCGCCATGACAACGAGGAATTGGCCGTGAGTTTGGCTCCGCCCCCTCCGCCTTCCTTGTGGGGCGGCTATGGGGCGATACGGGGCGGTTATGGGGTGATATGGGGGTGGTTATGGGGTGATACAGGGTGCTTATGGGGTGATATGGGGTGGTTATGGGGTGATTTGGGGCTCTGTGGCGTGGCTATGGGGTGATATGGGGTGGTTATAGGGTGCTTTGGGGATCTGTGGGGCAGTTATGGGGCACTATGGGGCGGCTGTGGGGCTCTATGGGGCAGTTATGGGTCTTTATGGGGTGGTTATGGGACTCTATGCGGTGCATGTGGGGTCTATGGGGCTCTATGAGCTCTATAGGGCGGTTATGGGGCTCTATGGGGCAGTTATGGGTCTTTATGAGGCAGTTATGGGTCTTTATGGGGCAGTTATGGGTCTTTATGGGGCGGTTGTGGGGCTCTATGGGGCGGCTGTGGGGCTCTGTGGCGCAGCTGTGGGTCCCTATGGGTTCTCCATTGAAGCCCTACTGACCCTTTAAGCCCCGCCCCTTTTCTATTTAGCCCCGCCCCTTTAGCCCCCACCCCTTTATAACCCCGCCCTCCCCCTCTGGCTCCGCCCCCAGCGCCGCGCCGTCGCTCTCATCCAATCCATGGACGCCGCCCGGGACAAGAGGCGGGGCTTAACCCCCCAGCCCCGCCCCTCGCTCCGCCCCAAAGGCCCCGCCCTTCGCCTTGGACCCAATGAAAGCCAACGATGAACGGCGTGCGGATAATTTCCGGCCATCTTTAATGACCCCATTAATTAATTAAAGTACTAATTAGTGTCATCGAACCCTCCCTCCCGCAGGGGGGCGTGGCCCGGACGCCCCTCCCCCTCCCTTTAGCCCCGCCCCGCGGGATT